ATGACATATCACAGTAAAAACACTTAATGTACAGAACAATGAGAGAATACTGAAAGCAGCAAAAGAAAAACAAGTCACATACAAAGGAAAGCCCATCAGAATTACAACTGACTTATCAATGCAAACTATGAAAGCCAGAAGAGGCTGGACCAAGGCATTTCCAGTGCTACATGACAATAGATGCCAGTCCAGAATACTATACCCAGCAAAAATGTCTATTATAGGTGAGGGGAAAAGAAAAATCTTCCATGATACAAATAGCCTGAAAGAATTCATGTCCACAAAACCAGCCCTTCAAATAATACTTGAAGTGATACAAAGAACAGAGAGAGGAACAACTATACCCCAGGGGCAATGAAAGTGAAAGAAAATAAAGGTATAATCGAGGAAACACAAAATTATGTAGAGAACACAAACAGCAATCAAAATGATGTCAACCAATACACATCTTTCAATAATAACCTTAAATATCAATGGACTGAACTCTCCAGTCAAAAGACACAGGCTTAAGTGAATGGATTAAGAAACAAAATCCATCTGTTTGCTGTCTGCAAGAAACCCATCTCACCTTCAAGGACAAGAACCACCTTAAGGTAAAAGGATAGAAAAGAATATTCCAAGCAAATGGAACTAATAAACAATCAGGGGTTGTGTCTTAGTTTGTTCTTCATTGCTGTGACAAAACACCCTGACCAGTACCAACTTGGGGAGGAAATGGTTTATTTGTCTTACATCTCCCAGGTCGCAGTTCATCAGGGAGCCCAAGGTAGGAACTCAGGGCAGGAACCCAGAGGCAGGAGCTGGAGCACAGGCCATGGAGGAACGCTGCTTACAGGCACTGGCCCCTACTCAGCCTGCTTTCTTATGCAATACAGGCCCACCTGCCCAGGGGTGGCACCACCCACAGTGAGCTGGGCCCTCCCACATCACTCATCAAGAAGATGCCCTTCAGACATGGCCACAGGCCAGTCCAATAGAGGCAATTCCCCGATTGAGGCTCCCTCAACCCAGGTGTGTCAAGTTGACACTAAAGCTATCCAGCACAGGTTGCAATTCTAATATCTGGCAAAACAGACTTCAAAGTAAAACTAATCAGAAGAGATAAGGAGGGTCACTTCATTCTGATCAAAGGAACAGTTAACCAAAAAGATATTACAGTCCTTAACATATGTGAACCAAATTCTGGGGCACCCAAATTCATAAAAACAACACTACAGAACTTTAAGACACAGATTAACCCCAACTCAGTAATAGTAGGGGACTTTAATACCCCACTGTCTCCATTAGGCAGTTCAACTGGACAAAAAATAAACAGAGAGATGTCTGAATTAAATGATACCATACATCAAATGAACCTAACAGACATCTTTTGATTATTCCACCCAAACACTAAATAATACACTTTCTACTCAGCACCCCATGGAATTTTTTCATAAATTGACCATATACTGGGCCACAAAACAAACTTCAAGAAACACACAAAAAAAAATTAAAATAATTCCAAGCATTCTATCAGACCACAAAGCAATAAAGCTCAAAAATCAACACTGGACAAAGCGCTAGTCACTACACGAACTCGTGGTGACTGAACAACACACTCCTAAACAATGAGTGGGTCAAAGGAGAAATTAAGAATGAAATAAAAGAATTCCTGGAATTCAATGAAAAGGAAAATACAACACAACACAACCTCTGGTACACATTAAAAGCAGTCCTAAGAGGGAAGTTTATAGCTCTAAGTGCCTACATTTAAAAATTGGAAAGACCCCACCAGCATAAGAGAAGAAATAAAATCAGAGCAGAAATTAATGAAATAGAAACAAAGAAAACAATACAAAGAATCAATGAATCTAAGAGCTGGTTCTTGAAAAAATAAACAAGATAGACAGACCTGTAGCCCAGTTAACCAAAAGAAAGAAAGAGCAAATCCAAATCAAAAATCAAAATCAGATGAAAGAGGAAACATCACAACAGACACCCAAAAGATCCAGAACATTATAAGGGAATATTTTAAAAACCTATACTCTACTAAATTTGAAAATCAAAGAGAAATGGAATGACCAAATTTAAACCAAGAAGAGAACAACAGTTTCAACAGACCCACAACATCTAAGGAAATCGAAACAGTAATACGAAGCCTCCCAACCAAAAAAACCTAGGCCCAGATGGATTTACAGAATAATTCTACCAGACATTTAAAGAAGATCTTCAACCAATACTATTTAAGTTATTCAAAATGATAGAAACAGAGGGAGAACTCCCAAATTCCTTTTATGAAGCTAACATCACTCTAATACCCAAACCGGGTAAAGCCACAACCGAAAAAGAAAACTATAGATAGACCCATATCCTTAATGAACATAGATGCAAAAAATTTTCACAAAAAAAATTTAAACCACCAACAAAAACACAA